CCTGGGAAGTTGTATCAGCGCCCTTGGGATCGAAGACGAGATCACGAACCGCATAGCGAAAGCTCGAAGTGCTTTTGCTAACCTTCGCCACCTATGGCGACGGCGCGACATTACTCTCGCCCTGAAGGTTAGAGTGTACAATGCAGCGGTACGTTCGACCTTACTGTACGGTTGCGAAACCTGGCCCCTAAGATCGGCGGACATGAAGAGGCTACTTACGTTCGACCATCGGTGCCTTCGCAGTTTGGCTCACATCTGGTGGGAACACCGCGTGAGTAACGAGCGTGTTCGACGCCTTGTTTACGGCCTAGGAAAAGGGAATGAACCGCTCAGCACTGTCACCAGGCTCCGATGGCTGGGCTACGTGTTGCGCATGCCAGCCCACCGACTCCCTCGACGTGCGTTGTTTGCTCACCGGGGATGTGGGTGGAAGAAGAGGAGAGGTGGCCAAGCGATGACTTGGTCCAGAGGAATGAAGGCCCTCACTTCGGAGCTGGCCTCAGTTAGAGCTTCACGCCTCCCTGGTTGGGGTCCAAAAGACGGTGAACACGTTTGGCTGGATACACTTGCTGATATGGCAAGGAGCCGACCTCAGTGGCGTTCCTGCTGTGAGTTTCTTTGTCCCTCCCCATCCCTTTAGCCTCCCCCTCCATCTTCGATCTTATTTCGTAGGGTAAAACGTAATTAAATTTTTGTTTTTGCCTTGTAGCTGGCTAGTAGCTTACCGGAACGATGCGTATCCGTTGCTGGTAGCTCAGCTGGCATTCAACTGTCGTATTTATTTTTCCTTTATGTATTGTATGTATGTATGTATTTCCTTTATGTATTGCGGTACAATAGCGGAGTTGTTTTACCATCTCTAGCTGATATGTATAATGATGATGATGATGATTACATATTTATCAGGCACACGTTTCCTCAGCAGACAGTCCCAAATGTCACGTCGATCGACTGAGTCGAAGGCACCTTTTATGTCAAGAAATACGATAACGCTGCGTCGCCAATAAACATGGCGGTGCTCCAACAATTGACGCAAGGTGAAGATGTGGTCGATGCAGCATCCGAGCTTGACGAAATCTGGCTTCCTCTTCACGAATCTGGCTTTCACGAGTGCCAGTCAGTCTGTGGCGAATGACAGAGGCAAGCAATTTAGAGGCAATCGAAATCAGACTGATCTCTCTATGATTACCGGATTCCAAATGGGATTTTCGCTTGAAAGTTGGGAGAATGACGGAGCGGTTCCAGTCTGTCGGGACTGTCTCCTGCTCCCAAAGTTTCACTAGCAACTCGTGTAAATCACGTATTAGAGCAAGTCCCCGAATTTGAAGAGAGCTGGGGGAATTCTGTCTGCCCACGCGGCCTTATGCAATTTCAACAACCTGATCTCACGTTCGATTTATGTGCGTGAGGGCGGATGGAAGGAGACGGCCCGAAAAAGAAACCAATATCTCACTTTGGTTTATTTGCCTTGCAAAGTGTTCAGCCTAACGCTCCAAGCGTTTTGACAGGCTGCGGATCGGATGTACACTCCAGTCGCGTATGGTCTCGCTAACACCAGGTCTCCTGCTGCCTGTTTCCCATATCAGACGGAATAACTCCTGATGATTGCCAACGGCAGCGGCTGTTTCCATCTCAGAGGCACGATGAGACCACCGGGTTTCGCGGTCTTTCTTCAGGCTAGTTCTTTGCTGTACTACCTTTCGAATGACCATTATTTTCGGGACGGGTGCAGTCGTTCTCTATGGGGGTGAGTGTGTTTTCTGCTAATTTATGCGACTGCTAGACGCGAACGTATGTAGCTAGTTTGACGTGCTTGTCGCAGTGTCTGAATGTCTACTGTTTCTCTGTTTAGCGACTTGTCTTGTAACGCATCAGTTAAGAAAGAAACATCGGGTGTGGTTTACAAAATTTCCTGCAAGAACTGTGAGAAGTACTATGTAGGCCAGACTGGAAGAAAACTTGGCACGAGACTGCACGAACATAGTCTGGCCATCCGCCGCCACGATGAGAAATCCTTAATGTCGGTACACATGGATGCCGAGAACCACCAGTTTAATCTGGAGAACGTTGAAATACTTGGAAGAGCAAGAACCCGCAGAGCGCGTGAGTTCCTCGAGGCCTGGCATTCTGGCCGGAACTCAATCAACAAACACCTGGAGCTGGAGGGTGTCTATGAAGCTCTGCAAGTTAAGCCAGCGTTAGGCACCAGATCGACAAGGAGAAGAGGTGCCCACATGACGAACACGTGAACCGATCGAACGCTGACATTCGAAGCAGGCAACAATCAATAGCCATTCAGATCTGGCATTGGTTTGCGAGACTGCGCGAATCAGCATCAAATAGCTGCACTGAAGATGTTACCTAGTTTGGTAACGAAACGTCTGCAACAGAAACGCCCAGCTCGGAGAACAGGACAATCTTTTCATCCACATCCCGAGCTACAGGTATTCTCAATAATTTCTAGCCATAGTCATTATCTTGTCTGTCCTCTTGCCGTTGCTTCTGAGATCCAATGCGATGTAACATTGCTTCTCTTGTCGGTAGGTGTCGTCAACTTGCGGCTCATCTCTGAAGTACATCCCAAAAGATCAGTAATCCACGTTCCGGACGGTTAGCTATCTTATCAGATGTAATCTCTATTAAACCAGAAACAGGACTAGCAATAGACAATGGCGTCTGTCACATCTCATTGAGCAGTATTTATTCGCGTCTTTTCCTTAGTTTTACCTTGTGGGTGATAACATTCTGGGATCTACTTGGTTCGAGAGATTACTGTTTGACAGACGGTTCGCCGTGTGCTATCGATGGATTCGTAGTTTCCTCGGCGGGGCACTCCGACGGTGTGATTAAAATCTAAAAAGTGCAGTATTAGATGATTATCACAAGAGAACTGCCCCACATTTAAACCCGGTGAGTCGTTATTCCCTGCATAGCTTCTATGTTCGCCGCATCGAGTCGATGAACGTTCTCTCCACGGATGAAACCTAACTGTGTGCTAGTTGGCCTTAAGAATGTGCGTCTACCTTAGAAATTTCGGTAACTTTTTGACATCTTACAACGGATTATTATGTCCGAGCTCTCTGGGGCCATCGCTGTCCAACCCACTCCAAACATCTCATCCTGGTTTGCGTTGCCTCCAGAGTCTTCTGTAGACGTGCTTTTCATTGGCTGTTGGAAGTTAATTGACATCGTTTTTTCACGGTAAACAGACAACTGCATTTGTACAGTACAGGATTAACGTTTATTGTCAGTGATTTATCCAGGTCTTTGGTATCAGTTAACTGGAGATATTTCGTTTGGCCTATTGAGCTTGGCTAAACATTAGCGGCGTTCAATTTGGCAAATGCATTATTCATACTAATCATCCTTCCATTTACCGATCATGAACTCGACGACTCCGAATGGCCTCAGTCAGTGTAGTTCCTGGAGAGCTGAAGGCTCCGCTCCACGTAACAATGGTCGTTAGTCTTAAAAGGCGCTTTTGATTTTGGCTGTAGGTACACCGTTGTGTGGAATGTTATAAAGGGGCGGTAGTAGATTTCTACTATTTTGTCTATCATTTTGAGTTCCTGATCGCTGACACTTCTGCGCACAATTTCCTGTTTTTAACTTAAATCTTCTGGTCCAAGTATTGGTAGAATTTTTCTTCCTTATTTTTTTAATTTCTTTTGCGTCTTTTATTCTTGACATCACGTTGGTTGAGAACAGTCTCTTCTCTTGAAAAGATTTTGGTTGAAAAAACATCAATGCCCAGACGATAAAATATGCTCGCGGAAACAGCCACTGTGATACTGTGCAGCTATATATTGGGGCGCTATCTGTTTTTATAGCTCCAACTGTAAACATTGGTTTTTTAGTTCAACCTGCTCAGCCGGTCACTATCATGTGGGGACACGGCGTGACATACCCGAATTTTCCGTGGCGAGTACGTAGTCATCCCTGCGTATTATTGCCCCGAATCGTGTTCTTGCTAAATAAATTTCTTGTGATTTTGGTATCTTTATCCTTTGGAATCATGGCGATGTGAGGTTTATGCACCCTATACGTCTTGTTTCACGTTAAGCCAAAAGTTTATGAGTAGATTCTAAGACTTTTTATATTCTTGCATGCTAAACTAGTCCTTTTTTGAGTCTTACTGAGGAAGTTCTGATTTATCTTATTTATTTGGACCACCTTCGTCCATACTTAGGCATCCGACATCCAGTCGTTGTCACCGTCACGACCTCTTCATCATTTGAGCGTCTTAGGCCTCCTTTTCCTCCTTGTCTCGTCCACTCAGTTGGCTATGACGGTAGTATACATGAACGATCGTTTTTTTACAGTTTGTTGCTGTTTGCGTGTGTTCCTCAGTTATCTTGTGTCCATGTGAAACTGGTGTTAGCGATTCCATCCACCGGCCGTGGGAGTTACTAGTTCGCTTCTGTCTGATTCATTTTATGAAACCACTGCTTGTAACTGCATCGTTTGTGCATTCGCATGTGTATCCAAGGTGGTTTTTTCGGCCAGAAGCTCCTCAGTTACCATCTCTTTTCAACCATTCCTGCCATTACTCTGCCCCCCATTTACCCAATCTTACACAAACCCACAAGCATCGACTATGACATCTTTTAATGAATTCCCATTTTGCCTGTTCGCCCCCAATTTCTCTGTGCTGCCCTCCGCCACACGCACACCACCTTTGTACACGTTCATTCTGTTTCCACGGAGACATCCGCTGTTAATTGTCTTAATTAGCAGGTGGCACGCACTCGTTCATCGCCTGCTCTTTGTTTGCGGCCTGGACATGTGTAACATCTTCACACATTGTGTATTGCTTTCATAGGACATGAAACACATTAGCCCCACCCTTTTACTTCGCCGCGTTACAGATGCTCACTCCCCCTCCATCACTGCGCTGATCTCATGTAGACGCATTAAATCTGATGTCCAAATTGCGTGCTTTCTTGTCCACTCACCCCCCCCCCTGTACCCATCTCTCTCCCCTTCTTTTCCGGTTACAGTTGGATTCGTTTGACTTTATCCGTTAATCCGAAAAACAAAATTCCCGTGCGGGTGATCATGAGGACATTCGCTTCCGGTCGCAATGAGCGTGTGGTCTTTCAGAGTTTGAAAGAACTCGGTTTGCCGCATGGGAAAGTAAGCAAGCATTTTTCGTCACTTAACCGATTTCTTCCCCCATCTACATGTAGAACGATGCCATTGAGCCCGCTGATTTCCCGTTTGAAAAATTCTACGAGTTGTATCACAAAATTTGTCCCCGAACGGACATAGAAGAGTTGTTCAAATCCCTGTGAGTCCCTGTGCTCGTTTCTCTATACTGCCTATTTTCCCATCGATTCTTCGTGCTTGACTCGTTGGTTTGAGCCGGTAGCACGTAGGAGTACAACCGGCTTTATGGACTCGTCACTTGATGTTGTGTTTGTCATCTTGTCCCTGCTTAGAATCATAGTCATTCGATATCTACTTCGCACTTAGTGGCGATCGCACTGCGTGATAGTATGGGCATGAGATTTCGGTTCCAGCTTTCGCAGGTGATTAGCAACGGGTAAAATTTCTTGGGGGCGTCGTCATCACATCGGGTTGTTCGGTCACTCTCAAGGATTCTCTTCCACTGTATTCTGGCATTTGGAAGCAGTCCACCGAATCACATATCTGTCTTTCGCGGCAGTTCGAATTGAACACAACTTTACGATTGGGTGGACACCAGCGTTGGAAATTTCACGCACTTAAGTCCCTCATTGTTAGGGCCACGATCATGACCATTTAGAGAGCAGATATCATTGAGTAAGTCCTGAAGATTTGGAATAACAATCAGCAGTACATCAACGACTTCAACTGATGCTTCGCTGCCGTACAACCACAATGACCAACGGAAGAAAACATAAGAAGAGGGAGAGAAGGGGGACCTAGCGTAAAACCTTACTGACCTAAACTAACACACATGATCAAGACGCCTACACCTTGTGTCAACAATATACCGTCACAGACAGCTGACTATCGTGTAAAGATAAGGCGGCATCGGCTAGACAGCTTCCTTGTGTCTTTGACTGCCTCTCGTCATACTCAGTCATTACCATGCAGACAACTCAGCACCAAACACACTTTATACATGCAGTCCGAGTAGGTGACGACAGCAGACCGACGACTGGTGTCGGCTGCGAGCAATGTGCTACAACGTTTCGAACCAAGCATAAGGGGAGTCACGTGGACTCCAGCCTGAGAGGCGAGTCGGACCAGCAGCATCGAGTTGGGTCGTCAGTGACTTCATTTCTCGCTGCCAGGTTACTTTTTGCCACTTAGGGCTTTGCGCCACCCTACATCTGTCAAGCAAAACAAGGCCCTCCTCGATAACCGATAATCAGACATATCTAGTAAGTGCCCAGGCCAACGCAGCTTATTCATTACCAAATGCTGTTCTAAGAAACTAATCTATCACTGCCTGGTACTCGCGTACGCACATCCTGGTTGCGGCCACACTGCTGTTATTCGACACTAGTTATTGTCGCAGACGGCGATCATGAAAGACTTATATGCGGCGCGGGTCCGTAGATCGTAGAATAAGACGGCCCTCACTGTGGCCTTTTAGACGGAGAGAAACCTCATACCAGACGCCGCAGATACTGGAGATTCAAAAGGCAGTTCCAGCTTTTCAATATGTGAACTGACTTGAGTCGTTATGCGCCCATCGTTGCTGATACACCTGCCGAGGTAAGTGAATTGTTCAACTACCTCGAGTTCCCCGTTATGAAGGGTCAAGGGTTCCTCAAGTGGTCTTATAACAACGCTTTGTACTTTGCGTGAACGAAGCGCATGTCATATGATGAGAGCACTCTAGAGAGGTTATTCAGTGCTGATTGCGTTGACACAGCATGATTAAAACTTGAGACCTGCCTGCTCTTTTCTAATCCGGAATTCTCGCTCCGCAGTGATGCGGCCGATGAGAATTGAGGCTAGTAACACGATTCGAAAGATCAAACTTTGTACTACAATTTCCAGGATTTTCGCCGAAGCTTTTAACAATTTATACTGGTTCAGTACTCCAAATGTACAATACCATTCAATTGTCTTGAACTGGGTCATCGACGCGTCTTGATGCAGACAGTTGATAGTCCCTTTTTTCTCTTCATCCGGTCTTGTACTTTCTACATTCACCACTGTTATTAAAGTCAGATAACGCATACTCTGTTTCAGCAACCGTACACAGTATCATGTTTCGAAGTTTTAATTCTGGCACCGTAGTGCTGCGCATACGTTGTACCAGTAACCGCGTACGTTTCCTTGTCACCCCCGCACCCACCAGTATCATCATCGCTATCGTTGCTTTGCTGAAAGTTAAGCTTGGTACTGAAACGGAGAACCGACCACTAGCCGAGTGATTCAGGTGTATAACGCTTGATCCACCGGTTGGGTCCTGCATATAAGTGTGGGCGACCTCTCAGTGCCCCATTCCTTATGCGGTCATGTGATAGTGTATCAAAGTATACTATATTGTAAAAACCGGTCCTTCAGGGACAAATGTTTTTTAATAAAAATCCAATAAATGAAAAGTACACCCATAGATTGTTCGCACTGCGATTTCCTTGATATTTTTTACCAGCACTGTTCACATCGACACACTCCCACCACTAGCGAGGACCTTTCGGTGCGTATTTGATCGGTTTTCTCATAGGTCTCGCTGACCTGCTTACTCCATCCCCCCTGCATAATTCCCCTCATCCACCGGCGTACTACTGATGCCTTTTTAATGAATATGAAGGGATACTTTGCGTATGCCAAAACGCTGTGAGCAAACATTCTTGCTCATAGCATTGACCCTCTCCAACAACGAACGATGACCCACAGCTAACTATCAGGAACGGGTGAAATGACATCAGTGAGACACTGTATGAATCGCGGTGACTGCTTATCTTCAGCAATCCGAAAATCTCCACTTAATAGCTTGAATCAGAGTATGATTCTTTTAGACAACGCTCATCGGTCTCGGCCTTTTACATAGAAATGATTGCTTTCTAAATGCATCGTGTTGGGCTGCATATTGACTATGATGTTAAATGCAACAGCCAAGTCGATAACTCACGTCGTCACTGAAGGTGGTAGTAGGTTAAGTACAAGGGAAGGACACATCACTATTGCGGCCAACCAAAGGTTAACTTGGATGTTAATCAAATGAATATGTAGCAACAATTGTAGGCCACGGTGAAGTTACTGGGCGTACAAATTGGTTTCGTACACACGCAGCTCCTGTTTAAGGTGGCGAATATAGGTAGCTTCAGCAATGGATAGGATTTCGTTAATGAAATCCGCGCTGGAATCGTTCATGAAGGACATAGATGACTCTGAAATCGTTTTTAGAGTTCGCGTGACCGTAGTCGAGGAGGAGCGACATGATGAGGCTATTAGCTGACCTCGCTTTACCAGTAAAACCACTTCGGGATGCCCTCACGAATCTTAAGAGAAGCCTTGATTGAGTAGCCTAAAGGTAACAAGCCTTTCTTGTGTTATCTGACGGCGCGAGTTCGAGCCTGCGTAGGGACAGGGTGACCCTCGCAGTGTCCTTAGCCCACGTACGATCGGTTCTGGTTGTGCGGCAGCTAAGCGTCGGCACTGCTTACCGGCGTACTGTTAATGCCTTTCTTCTCTTCATTGCGAGTAAAAGCATGTTGTTGTATAATATGCGCAGTCGATCGGCGAAATAGGTCAGCTCGATCGTCTCCTTCAGGTATTTAGACAATGCATCAGTGAAACTGTCGCCTTTGAATGAATGAACAAAGGTTTATTTCTTTGGTACGCTGGTCCTTGCGTCCTATCGAACTTTGAAGATGAATTTATTCGGGTGCCCATTTGCTCTCAGAGCGTCACTGATCTTTTGCAGTCCCTTGGTAACGGTGTCCAGTGTACACATATTCCTCGCTTGGAAGCCAAGTTCGGACTAGGTTCCATTTTCTACACAGCTTTCTGCTGCACGATCCACTATCGTTTCTAATAACATATTCGTCTAGAAATGGTAGTCAGTCTCCGGACTTTTGCTCACAGTTGAAACGCAGATTCTGATGCGTTTTCAATTTCCAGTATAAAAGTGTCATCTACCTAACGTACATACATATTTAGTATATAATCCTTACCATATCAACGTCCGGCTCTCATGAGATTTTCCGAAAAGAATACCTCATTCAGTCCTCACTTTAATTTTGCCATGAAATCGGCTAGGTAACTCATTTTTCTTAGCGCAGTGTATTTGGCCATCTTATATATGACTAATGCTTGGTCGAGTCTGACTTGTTTTCCTGGTTTGAACATTGATTGCTGTCTGGTGAACCGATGCACTAGGGTACAGCCGTCATCGAACTGGTTGTCCCACGTAATATAAACTAAGCGTCATAGCCCCTTTCTTCAAAGTTTCTATCGCAGACTTATCGAATCTACGGTTGGCTGGTGTTTACGAGAAAGTCTACGGATGTTGACGCAGATTGGCTGGGGGTGCTCCGTAGAGTCGCTCATCTTGTTTGTCGAACGTTTACCTTATCCTGATAACCTTGCGGCACAATATAAATTCTGCGATGATGTATCAAATAAACTAGTCCTTTTCGTTTATTGTACTTGTGAATCTCATTCACACACCCAGCTTATACTTTAATGAATTTGTTACCATTACCTTCGGCAGTATTAGCACCTTATGTTATCCAGGGGCGCCTTATGCATGTACGGAACTCATTTGGAATTGTTTAAACATCTCAAACTGTCTCTCCGTAGTTCAACTCGAAATACTGATAGGTCAGGTTAGGTATATTGGATACATCAACTCAATACAACGCAACTCAATGCTTGTTTATAATTTTACGTCTTGCAAGTTTTACACCTCTTAATGGCAATCCTTCCATTATTCTTCGGTACCACAATACACAGCTAAACCGAACGGAGCGCCGTTGCTAACGCCGGAAATGTGTGGGAAGATCACCGTTTTCTAACTAGTCTCTGCTTTCATGCTCTGAAGATACCACCACAATTGGTAGTGTTATATCTGGGCACTCCAGTTACCCAGCTTGGCGAGCCGGAAAACATTTCAAAGTGTCCCTCCTATTTCTATTACAGTGCCGCCATCTTTTTGGGTTTCAGTAACTTTTCCACGTTTATCACTAACCGTTCCCTTAAAATGTTGTGCGTTTACACGCTTCCCCCCCCTCCACACACACACATACCTTATTCTTTCTGCTACTGATGATGATGATGTGTTTTGCAGGTCCAACAACGAGGACGTGCTCCATGCGGACAAGATGATCGAGTTCCTCAATGAGGTTAGTGGCTTCTGCGCGCATTGCCATGGTATTTTCTCTCACCTTTTTCATTTCCCATAATCCACCTCATCCCCAACCTGCTGTTCCACATTTTATATATGGTTCCATGCGTGATGCTTGTTCCCTGACTTCATTATGTTGGACTGCACGATACTTTGCATACCGGTCTGCTGTGCATTTTTGGAAATTTCACTCGAGTTCCTCACCTCATCGACTTTGCATTGAGCACCAACTACCACCCACCCTACCTCCTCATCAGAACTCAATTTGACCACATTTGTCAGCATTCCAATTATGTCTGGCTCGGCGCAAAATTAACTGATGTTTCCAACTTACTGTAATCCATCCATCGCAATGATACTGAACGTTAACTTGATTAGATGGCCGACCCCTCCGCGATCCCTTTATCCGTACTAGACTGCAGCTTTATTAGACCACTAAATTTGCCCATACCAGACAGATGAGCTGTTAGTAAGTGGACAGAATCCGTCTCCTTTCTCCTCGCGCTAGATGTTTAACGAAGAGTACAAGTTGACGGAAACTGAACTCTTTGGGACATAGGGTAGAGTCAAGTTAAGAAACTTGTCACCTTCCTTGGTTACTAGCTTCCCTGCATGCAGTCTGCACTTCGTCGTCAGCATGAGCAAATTCATATCAGAAAACGTCTGCATATCTGATCCGCGGATTTGAAAGTCAGGCCAGCATTCGGGTCGAATTGAAACTCTCAAATGTTGTTAGTGTCGGCATCCACTGAAAAGTGTTACTTTTCGTTCCTGATGTTGCCAGGTGCTCATGAGTTTTTTTTGTAAGATAGGGATCAGTTCCTCCGCTGCGAATGATATTTTTGACTTTTTCTACCGAGATATTTCATCATCAGTAGTTATGGTCCCCCAATGTCGCGTTGAATCACACTGATTGGTTGTAGTGGGTCCCAACCACTCCGATTGGTTGATCAAGGCAGCGAGGTTTCTTTATCAGTTTATTAGTTGCAATGCACCAGGCAATTGCATGACGCAGTTTAGTGTTTTTTAATATGCTTCCAACGACTCTACTGAACGCTCTTGGATATCTTCCGTTTTTCCACTTCCCACAATGCTATCAGATTTTCCGTGATCATTATCCTTATCGGATAATAAGATTACCCCACGGGATTTCAGAGAAAAGTCGGAATTTCGATCGATTCGTAGTCTTCTGATCGTTCAGTGCATTTCTGCATTCACACAAATTAGCACTGCGGCCTCCTCGCCATTCAGAAATAACATCGGTGTCTTTTCGTTGTTCCAGCCTTTACCTCTGAAAATTGTAACAAATTATTGACCTGTGGATCGCTCCTCCGAGCCTGATAAAGTGAATGCATACGTTTTACCACCGTGCGAGGTGGCATCTTCAGTTAGGTGATATGCAATGTACAATCCTGCTTATTAAATCGTCAGTCCGTGATCGACGGGCAGGTGACTTGTAAGTGGCAATTTCGATTTGCGCCTCGTGATCTCTGCTCATTCTCTTTCGCGGCTGAACCATGTCTTTCTATTCACCGGGAATCTTTCTGAGCTGATTGTACACGCGATCGATGTCGATGCGCATGTTGATCGAATCATTAGATGAGGTGCTATTTACGTGGCACACAACCAGGCGTCTGTCCAAACGCATTGCGGAGCACTGCCTAGCGGCTTTGCGGAAAGGCTTCGTCAGTCGCCGCAACAGTCCCACTCTGGAACATCTCGGGGAAAGCAGACACCGAATTGGGACCGCTGATGCCTTCCAAGTACCCTATGTACTACAGCCACGGTACACTAAAGGTCTTAGGAAACAAATCTTACGGACCGCCGAAGCGATCGCGATTAGAATAGTTCAACCGGAATTATGCAAACAGAAAGCTTTGCTGCAAGGGTTTCTTCAACTTTGGCCCTAGTTAGCTTACCAACTTTTATCACTCCGTGCGCGTACAGTGGTCGGATGATGCGCTTGGCATTCCACCGATCAACCAACACGTGCCCTGTCACATGTGTTGTTAATAGACTTTATTGATCAGGACTTTTGAGTTTATGTTTGTCGTGATTACACTATTCCCACTTCCTTGGCTTCATCAACTATTTGTGTTCTGCCTTTCCATTTTATCATCGCAAATGCCTGAGGAGATTTGTCGAAAAGAGTACTCTTCACAAAATTGTGTTCTTGCATTAGAGGAATTCTCTCCCTTTCCGTTTTGTTGCTTGAGCTAGAATCTCCGTTTTGTTCCTATTGAAACTATGTCCCTCCTCATCCACATGCGCTGAGACAAGAGACGAAGCATAAGCTATTTTAAAAGCCCTCTGATGTTCTTGTATCCTTGTGGATAGTTTCCTTCCTCTCTGTCCCACATAGTTCATTTCACAGTTATTGCACTTTATTTTCTATACGACGTTTGTTCGTTCTTGTGCTTTCTCATTGTCCTTTGGGTTTGACAGTATTCCTCTCAAAGTAGCAGTTGGCTTGTGAGCGACCACGATGCGGTGTTGTTTGAACAATCTATACCATTTCCTGGCCATGTTGTCCTCTTGGGCAACAGAAATAATCTGAGGGGCATTCAACATGAGTCTACTCAATTAATTTGTTCCGTGCGTGCGCCAGTCACTTGTGTAGGTGTGCGTGTATAGCCCGTCGCTTTCAGCCCATTGGACCTCAGACGCACTAAGTCCTATGGGTGCATGTGGGACGCTTCAGCTCCTACGCACGGAACAAATTAATTGAGTAGACTCATCTTGAATGCCCCCTCAGATTATTTCTGTTGCCCGGGAAATGGTGTAGTAGTCATTTCAGATATGTTCTTCATATACGGCAAAACGACCCTCTTGCTTACATTTGGTATCATCCCGGTGTTTGTAGGTTTGTGGTTTAAACCTCTGCGGATGAAGCTGTGTGGGTATCCATTGCGCTCAAACGAATCGAATAGGTGTTTCTCTTCTTCTCTTTTGGCTTCCGCTGTACTGCAGTGTGTCCCAATCCTACGAAATAGCGTCCACATGCAGCTTATTTTGTTGCACTTTGGGTGGTTGCTGTTGAAGTACAAAATTTGGTCCGTATGTGTGCCTTTCCTGTGAACGTGTGTTTGAAATTCACTATCCTTTGTTCCGGTCAGCCACAAATCCAAGAATGGCAACAGATTTTCTGCTTCCATTGTAAACTGAATCCCATCCATTGCATTGTTGAGTAGTTGGTGTGTGAGTGCTACTTCACTGCGTTTGAGTATTAGAAATGTATCGTCGACATAGTGTACCCACAACTTTGGGTTAATAGCTCGTAGTAGATCTTCTTCCAGCTTTTGCATCACGATTTCTGCGATTAGACCTAATACTGGTGATCCCATCGGTGCCCCCTTCACGTGCTCATAGATCTCTCCGTTGAACGGGAAGTAAGTTGTGAGACATAGTTGGAGGAGCTTGCAAATACTTGCTGTCGTCATACTCCCAATTTTCTCTTCTCTGTTGTTTAGGCGTTCTATGATGACTTCTTTTGCCAGCTGCAAATTGACAGATGTTAATAAAGTGGTGATATCGAAGGAGACCATTGTTCTGTCATTATCTATATGCAGGTTCTTGAGCTTCTCTAGAGATTGCTTGGCCTTGTTTACGGAGTGCTGTGATCCATTGAGTAGATGTTTGAGGCGCCTCCACAAGTCCTTTGCCACCTTGTAGGTGTACCTGGAAGGGAAACAATTGGCCACAACGGAACACCCTCTTTGTGTACTTTTGGAAGTCCGTAGAATTGTGCAATGTTCGAGTCAAGGGCTCTCATTTTATTCCTTTCTGTTCCTGTAATTTCTTTCAACTGCTGTAGTTCATACAATGTTCTTTTTATTTGGTTTGTTAACTGCGATGTCGGATCGTAATTACTGCGCCTGTATGTGGTTGTATCGTTCAGAAGTCGTTTGACTTTCTCAATATATGCTGTCTTATCCATTATGACTGTCATACGTCCTTTGTCTGCAGAAAGCATAACGATTGATTCGTCTGATCTCAAGACTTTCATTGTTTCTTGCTCATGTCGAGACAGAACGTTGCATTGATTGACGTGGGTCACGGCAGGGACGATTGTGTGTCGGACTCGCTCCTGAATCTCTTCTGCAAGTCCATTTGATCGTAGAGCGTTTTCTGATTTCACTAATCGAAATTGCCGCTCTCAAAAGTCACCTGCCAGTCGACCACGAACTGACGATTCAAAAAACAGGATTACATATCACTGCATATTACCGCACTGAAGACGCAACCTCGCATGTTGATGAAACGTATACAATCACTTTATCATTTACGAAGTGTTTGATTAAAAAAGGCTTAATAAATCACAACCTCCTGGTGGTCTTTGTGAAGTCTTTCGGTGTTCTTTATCCACGAAGTTCCTTCTTTCAAGGGGGGCTAAAGTCCATCTCATACACTGGAACATTCTGCCATATGATCGGTTTGCCGGTAGCCAATAAATTAGCCTGACACGTGATCGACTGACGAGAATCCAATCAAGCACTGCCCACTCCAGCTGACAACAAATTAGATGGGCGGGATACGCTATCCGGCATTAGTTTGGTCCTACATGGAGGAAGCTCGACTAGACTAGACTATGCAAGCGTCCATTGGACTGGGCGGTTGCGAGCGAATAGCGAGTAAGGTCCGATGAACTCATGCGGACAGCATGGTACGGTCCAAATGAATTTACCATCGCAATGAAATATCATGAGCTAGCACTACGAATTTCTGTGGATTATTGGAGAATATCATAAGCATAAATAATAAATTTTTGTTCGATGTTTGGAATTTGTTTTGACGTTCCGATGACTGCTAGCTGGTCAGCATCATTGAACCGGTGCTTTCGTTTCAGTCTTACTTATTGCATCTGTACAACTCCATCGAAATATGATCGAAAACGCCAAAAAACAAATTATCTATGACTTGCCAATACCCCCTAACTCTTTTCCACCTTCTCACTTGATATCGTAAAATATATGTAACTCACACCCAACAATCGTTTGCACTGCTACACTGTGTTTGCTTTCACTATATGGTCCGGCAAACTGTTCTAGACATTTATCTCTCGCGGTTCAAAACACACGGGGTGTGGAACTCACTTCACATTTGAAACTCTAAGCTTGTATTGGTTTCCGCGTGTGTTACAAGATCTTCTCAAGTGGAGCAGTCGTCTCAGCATGCGGAAGTCACGTAGATCATGTCATGATGAAGGCGACCCGCCGGTGTGTATGGCCGTGGTCTTTTACACATCTCCTCCTACAGTAAGGTCCGCAAGCTTGGGATGAGCCTCGTAGCGATGTGTTGGACCCCTTCACTTTTCTACACCTCGTCTTGTATGATCGGGCAATAGACGGGCGAGGCGTACTCTAGCATTGGTCTTGTGATGGTGGAGCAGAGATGAGTGGCAAACTCATCGGACCAGATACAGATGTTGCATTTGAGGACTGAGAGCATGTACAGTCCGTTTCGGTGTACCTTGTTCATGTCCGTTACCTAAGGTGTGGGATGTAACGGTCGGTCATCACCGCCCTTCCCTAAGCTCATGAATACAGACTTCGATGCGTGGATCTGGAGATGGACCACTGCAGGCAACAGAAATTTGATCGACGCCTTGCTGAAGTAGACCGTAGGTGTTTTCCAATTATTTTCCAGCTTCGTTTTGATCCACCATTGTGATTATCGCAGTCGATCTCTTTGTTTCCACCTGTTTAGTTTGTGCGTGCACTCGGCTGGGTTCTTTTCACTAATGTGTACGCGCGGTTTCTCATTCCAGACGCAACGAGACCCTCGGTTAAACGAAATCCTCTATCCCTTCGCCAATAGGCAAACCATCAAACATATTCAGGAAAACTATGAAACACAAGAGGAATTAAAGAATACCGGTTAGTTTCTTCTAATCGTCTTCCTTTTCATTCGTGTCCGTAAACTATTATTTTCTTCGAGTTCGTTTTTGGATTGTTTCTTCTCCACCTTAAGGCGCCTCTGTTCACTTGGTCTTGTTGCATTGGAGCGAGTCCAGGCCAGTTCACTTGGATGACATAGGCGAACTCTGTGTTTTCGACAACGGATGGACCAATCATGTGTGGTTGGAACGCCGAGTTGACATCAATGCATTCCGAATTCGTGTCCTAACATTAGCATTAGCATTAGCTTCAATAAGATTGTTTTATTTCCTCAACTGACACGATTTGGTCATTTTCTGTGCATATCTCCTAAGCCTTTGCTTCACCGCATCCAGCTCAGGATTGGGCTGGAAGTGACCTCCTGGGGTCCAGTTCTCCATTTAGCAGCGGCACACGCGATGCGTCCTCCTCCCTGGGTACGCAAGTACAAGAGGTGCTAGTAACCCGAGACGCTTGAATTTATGTTGCCCAGCCGGTGTAGATAAAATGCTGTATACACGAATGTCTCGACTCATTGGTTGCATACTACAAACCATGAAAATGCAAATAAACGGCATGTGGAAAACAGTCGAAGAAGCTCGGTTACTTTGTATACATATTATACTTACATTTATTTTTCGTGGTTTTTAATAACTTATTACTCTACATATATCTCTGTGTTACTTAAGTTATCCTAGCTTGCTAACTGTTTTTGACTATCTGCTCCTTCTTAATAAGCCAGCTGCGTGTGCAGCTGGCACTATGGTTGCACCATGTCCGCCCCCTTCTATTGCGAATTCCTCCACGTACTGTTCTTTCTCTGGGTGTCACACATCAAGTTGTTTCCTGTTAGGTAACTGGTTGATCTGGATTTTTCGGATGAACTACTGCTTCGGCGCACCGTTACAAGATCACAATCAGTGTGATTATTCCCCTGCTCTTAACGACAATGCAAATGCAACATTTGATCCGATTGTCTCTCTTGGCACTTTCATTACCAATATTAGCGTTCAATTCTTGGAGTTAGTTCATGTGATGCAGGACTAGAACTGTTTTCATGAATTCGCAACATCTCCATGTTGAACGAGTATATCCTTTGACCTTAATGGCCATGCTTACCGAAGGCTAGTGAGAAACCTTCTCTCCTGTGTGGAAGTGAAACGTAGTCTGTGAGAATCACAGTTGTCTGTGGAGCATGGCTCGCCTTTATAGATGCCTGCATATCTTGGTCGATGTACTTCGTAGGCGAGTACTGAACTTTTCTGGTCGTTCGATAAAGAAATAGCACCTGATAGGTAGCGTTCGTTGGACTACGGCATACGTATATCCACTGGTTTTCCATCGTTTGTTACTCAGAACGCTTTGTCTTGTCGGTGGATGTTTGTCTGAGGCGGCATGGTTCTACGAGGCACCTCTCTTCGCTCTCACTATTCCTCATTGGTAGACTCATCTCTCGTAGTTTATGACTGTGGGATCGTGAGACAGCTTATATGCCACCCCACTTGGTGGTGGCTTGCAAAAGAAGTGCTGGCTCTAGGGACCAGCCCTGTCCTCTGCACGCCCATAGCATGTATAACAGTGGAGGATGGCCGCGTTATCTCGCAATTAGATATCAATCAAAGCGCTCCGCTGCTCTCACCCGTGGCTCAGTGGCATAAGTCGCTGGCTCACAAGAGTAAGGTCGTGAGTTCCAATTCTGCAGAATTGTTTGGGTGTGCGCTGCTTGCGAGTCCCAGTAGGACGAACCGGCCGTCTCGCGCTTTTCTGGATGCGTGGTGACTGCCTGAGTCTAACCGCGACGAATCTCCACAAAGTGCCCAATAAATTTCTCGACTACTTCTAAGGTACCAAACGTACCGACCATGATGGGCTCCACCCACTGATTCTCAAGTCACTTTTGGTCATCATTTCTCCTGCCGATAGACGTTTTCAACTGGTCGCTGTCCGAAGGTTCGTTGCCGATTGACTGGAAATGTTGGGTGATGACGCGGATTCCGATAACCACCTACCCTAGCAGAATAGACAACTACAGGCCAATTTGTCTGACTCCTATACTGCCAAAGTTTGCGTAGAACATCATGAAGAAGGGATTGCGGCAGTTAATATATACTCAAAGGAGGTCCTGATGCCCGCACAGCACAGTTTTATATTAGGCCGCTCATGCATTGCAATCTTGTTTGGCATGTGGCATGTGTAGTTGCAATAAGCAACGTGACATGATATTTATCGATTTCAGCAAAGCGTTCGACAAGGTCAGCCATGAGTCCCTTCTTCACAAACTCAGGAAGTGCGGTGTCGGCGACTCACTTCACCAGTGGATCCGCGACTTTCAAAAGTGGAGAGTACAGGTCTATGACCATTTAACTGACTGGTATCCCTCTACAAGTAGCGTACCTCAAGGCACTGTGCTGGGGCCCACTCTGTTCCCGATCCGCATCAACATCTACCTCAGTTTCCGCTCTTACCGTGTTCCTAGTTTGCGGACGACATGAAGCTTTGGAGAGACTGACGCTCCCGACGACTGTGGGGTACTTCAGAAAGACCTCAACCGCCTATCCACATGGTTTGCAGAAGTTCGTCTCCCGGTCAATCCATCCAAGTCTGTATTTATGAACCTGGGGAAGGGCGCTGACGGCCGAACCTACACTCTTGATGGTCAACCGCTATACCGCAAACCCTCCGTGAAGAACATAGGTGTACTCCCGCGTTGCGATTTGAAGTCCGTGGATAACACGAACAGGCTATATGGTAACGGACTGCACTTGCTTTGGGCGCTCAGACGTAGCTTCGGCACATGGTCTGAAGAGGTTGTCACTTCTCATCTTCTCTTCCGTCATTTATCAATACTAGAGTACGGTTCGCCCGCCTGCTTTACGGTTACCCGAGGCGAGGCACAAAAGGGCTCACGTTGCTACCAGACTGGTCCCGAGTTTACGTGGCTTTGGGTATAAAGACCGGTGCGAGAGACTAGGACTCTACGCCTTGTCCTACCGTCGGGTGCGAATCGACCTCATTATGACCTACCGTACTCTACATTTCGTTGACTTCCCCATGCTGAGGCCAATGCTGCACTTACGTGGGCTATGCAACACACACGGACACAGATACAAATTTGTCGTGCCGGATGTGAGGCGACACCCTCTCCACTGTACTTTGAACAATGAGCAGTAAATATTTGCATCAGTTTTCCTGAACATGGGATGGAGAAAACATCTGTGCAGCAGTTCAAAACGTTGTTGGATTTACATTTTACCACTCTTAGATTCAGAGAACAATTGCACACTTACGATGGTATCTCACACTTGTGAGTCCTGCAATACCGTGAGTCAGATATTTTATATGTTACATGAGGATGATGATACTCACGGGTAACAACTTTTAAAATGTTTTTCACCATATTTCGAAGGAGTTGTACAGAATTCATTTCTACTTGCTCCACAATACAGTATTCAGGATTCTCTGTTGGTGACGATGCCAATCATTAACTTCTCCGTGAAAATGACTTTTGAACCCCGCCACTGTAACAAAGTTGCATCGAAGCTGCACGCTATCGAGCACGTCTCCCAGTTGCGGTCCAATGGATACTTTATGGAAGCATGATGAATATTCAGTCACAGACAATCAACGTAGCGATCCTGAGATGATCACCTGGCTAGCAATCGGACAAAAACTATGTCTAGGCTTCACTTGCTGAATCATCCTCTACCCTACTAACCAACACTGACTATCGCTACTCACGTATCTCAGTATCCTAATGATGAAGATGTCGTAGCAGACCTGCTGAAATGCTCTTCAACCTGTTGCGTCCAACAGACTAGTTGATGAGGCTGTGTGTGAATCAGATCAGCTGTTGTCTCACTAATTGAAGGTTTTTCAGACCCAAGTTCGTGATGAGCTTGCGCAGCATTCGGCAGTTCCTAATAGCGTTGGCTTTCTCCATCTCCCGGGTCCTTACTGCCCACCATTCTTCCCAGTCAGTTCGAAGAATCCTTGTGAGTTATCGTTTCAAGGAGTTACGGGCATTATACATATATATATATATATATATATATATATATATATATATATATATATTGATCACAGTCTGTGCGCAGATATTGTGCCATTGAAACCATGGTGGAGTAGGAAAACAGGGTTAGCGTATATGAAGAAAGAAAACAAATTTTTTTTCCATTTTCCACTCGCAGTTTTTACGTTTTTTTGATCTTTTTATTGGGGGAGGGAAGGGGGTGATCCATCCATGGTTCATCAGTGGGCGTGACACTACCCGGTTGCCTAGGCCGACGTAGGTAGGTTGTCTTAGGGGGCCCTACCTCGAGCCTTTGATCCAGGATCTAACCTACAACTCAGCAGGACGATATGGAGTATCGCAACCCGTTGGGAGCCGGTGATCAAACAAGCGGTTCATACGCCTAGAACCAGGGGCCTAACACACCCTTGAATTACAACGCCACTCAGGGAGATGCAAGGGGCAGTGACTTTGTTTAGTGGCGACTCACATCCGCCACGTCGCAGTGTTTCTAAACGGACATATGTGTCTTTTTATAGGGAGAACGATTGCCAGGCTGAACCCACCACGTCCTGGAACGCTGCCGCCGAACCATTCGCTGGAACGAGATAATTCCGAACCACCCAGCTGGCACCACGAGGAGGTTGTTCAGCAAGCCAGCCATGGATACATTTAAACACTGTACACAATATTGACACCTGTTTCTGTGCTTCGATCAAACTGATCGATGCTTCATAGATTCATTCACAGTTACCTCTCAAGTTGGACGTGCAACAGGCGTCGGAAGTATTCTTTATGGTACACTTGAGACGATTCCAGTCAGCGTTCGGCTCTCCAATCTTATTCATCACTAACAGTTGGTGAACCAGTTTGTTATGATATTATTTAACTGCAGACTGCCAGCTCAAGGTGCAGGTAAGAAGATTCGATGATAGAAATAGTGCATCAGCGGTACGCCAGTGCGTAATACTGACGCTTCGCTTCCTTGCAA